AGCGATACTGTGCCACGGTTGACAAACCAATGACAGTAAAAGTTGTGGAAAGCAGCTCTAGAAAAAGCAGTTTTGCTGTACAGACATATCATACCATGTATACTGGAAACTGTAGATCCGGGGTTTCCTTCAAAAAAATTTTAAGTTATGCTAAGAAGGGAGCTCAGGTTGGAAAATTTGTTGGAGGAATTATTGGAGGTGGGTTTGGCAAGGTTGTCGGAGGATTGTTTGGTGCGATTGGTGGAGGTCTTGTTGGATATTTCAGCAAGAAAATATTTGGCTGTTCTGACACTTACGAGACAGTTCCAGGTGAACCGCGGCTTGTAGAGTACGAACAGAAAAGTTTCGAGGTAAAAGCTGTAGTCAAGATGATCAAGGAAATTAAGTGCTCAGGCCAAGAAGAGAAAACAAAACCCGGTGGATTTGGTCCTCCTTACCCTTGCTGTAAGCGATATGGATGCCAAACCAAAGTCATCGATCCCCTTTGTGTCAAACACAACGAGGAATGTCTCATTTATATGACTGAGCTTAAATTCACGCTTGATGCCTGGAATGAAACTTTTCAAGATGCCTTTCTGAATCTTAGGGAATCCGTTGACAAGGTTAAAAAGGCTACAGCTGTTTACGAGAAAGCGAGAATTCGTCATGAAGTGGCCCTTAATGAGCTGCACAAAGTAAAATCTTACACGGAGCAGAGCCTATCGGCGGTAGAAATCGTCAATGCTTCTATGATTCATGTCCGCCGAATCGTTGACTTTGGACTGAAGATATCCCAAGCTATGAATGCCACTAATTCGTATGGTAATAAAACTGTAGATGTTGGAGACCTTACGTTTTCACTAACCACAGCATCAAAAGATACAAGAAAGATCCTTTTTCAGTGCAATGTTAGCTCTGCTAATAGTCAATCTACGTTAGTCTCTTTTGTAGTTGACTTCGATCAAATCGAACGCTCAATCAATTCTGCCTCCAAGACGATCCTTAGCAAGCTGTTTGGTGGGACATCATCCAGGAAGAGGCGGGCGGCTCCGGAAGAACAGAGTCACTTTGAGAATTCCACAGACATAAATGCTTTACACATCAGTTTCACTGATTACCCTCATGCATGCCAGTTTGCCAATTCAACACATTTGTTCCTAATCTCCATTCTTCACCCCCTGGAAAATCTAATTTCAGCCTTTAAAGGAATGGATGAAGAGCTATCCTCCGGATTCAAAGATCTTGACAGACTGACGCACACTGTTCATGGCAGCAGTTCATTTTCCAATTCGTCGAGTAGTTCCAACATTTCTGACAGTTCCTCAAGAAGTCTAAACAATTCGTTCGTTTCAGACTACTTAGAGATGATAGAATTCTTCAAAAATGAGAGCACTCGGGTTCGAAATAACTCTTCACAGTCTTGGAATGAAACTCTAGAGGCTTGGAGGGCATTCCTCGAGGTATTCACCCATA